CAATAATTGACAATATTTTTAGGCTTTTGCTAGTGGTACATTTTGATGTACCTGAGGGGTTACGCTCCGCTCATATTGGGGTGTGATCTACTTGTATAAAATATTGTACACCCATAGGTACCACTCTCTAAATTCAAATTTTTAATTGCACTGAAAATCTACAATTTTGCCAAGTTATGGACAATGCTTCTTGTACAGTCCTCCTTCACAGCTATTTTGACAGTTTTTCAAATTAGCTGACGTGGCAGTGTAAAGTGTTAAAAAAACCCGACCTAAAATAGGAACCCAGCCCATTGTGCTAATGAAACCAGTCTCACCTGACTCTAACCAATTCTCCCCCAACTCTCCATACCCATTCACTGTGACGAAATTGCTTCAACAACTCGCAATAATTTTCAGGCGACCACCGATGGTATCTCTAGCCACAACCCACTCCAGCACTATTCCACCAGCTCCCCGTCCAGTTCCCCAGTTGAGAAGAAAATTGTACAAGAAGCTGCGGTACCTCCAATTGACGCACAACCGAAACCACCGGCGTTCCATCCTCTCAGTCGCGGAGCAACTGTCAACCAATTAAGAAGGCAACGTATATGAGATTTCCTTTTTTTTTTAATTATTAGTCCACGTTTATCTGAATTTGTTGGTTACGACAATCGAAGGATGCGATGTCGAGTGATTTTTTTAATTACAGGGGGAAAATTGATTGCCTTCTATTTGAAAATTACAGAGAAATGTTAAATTACACATGAATCATAAATTGCCTTGTATTTGAAAATTGCACAGAAATGTTAAATTACAGAGGGAAAATGGATTTTACAAAATGAGCATTCTATGTTAATTAGTAATAATGAATATGGGTTACATTGATGTCGTTCTTTTACGTGGTTGAACTAGATTATTTCGATTTTTTATTTTGTTCTAAAATTGAACATATACCTATTCATTTTGATGTAGGAAAAGAAACAATGGAACTATTGGATGACGAAGTATGTGTAGAATCCAACGATGAGAAGTTGATGGATAATGTAGTCACCTTGGAAGACAATAATGACAATTTAGGAAGAAATGTTACGATAGTGCCTGAGGTGGGTATGCAG